CCCAAAGAGTCTCCCAGGACGCTCCCAATAAGCCCCCTTTGATGCCTCCAAGAGGCTCCAGAAAGTGAGAAGTAAGGGTGCGGGGCTTGACTATGAAGTAATAAACTGAGAACCCTATTATGAAGAGAACGTCGGCGACGCACCGAAGCATCCCACAACTCATCCCTTCATGGCAAGTGAGGGGCAGGTGAGGAAAGAGCCATGGAAAATGGATCATAGCAGGACGTGGCTTTTGTCCGTTGCTACGATCCCAATAGAGGCGCGAAGAGTCACGCGCACCTGGCACGTTAGACAGCGCTGCCTCGAGCCAAGACAGCGTCGGATATAGCGCTCGCTATGCAGCCTCTCCTTCAGCCTCGTTTAAAATCGGAAGGGGAGGGGCTGGGCGCTAGACCCCCGTCCTAGTCAATACGCAAGAAAAAAAACAGCGCAGAATACAAGGGCTGGCCATGGCACACTACCAGGGCCAACCACTGATAATTATGGGTGGCCACGGGCAAGACCGCGCGACCACCCGCAGATGATTGGGGGGGCGACTGGCCAAATGCCAGCCGTCAACGCGTGCAGTGGGCGAGGGGATGCGACCAAGCGGTCAGATACCCTCTAAAGTAAACAAGGTTCATGCCCGCGTCCGCGCACCCATGGTGGTTGTGACGCTATGAGTATATATGCCTGTGGCCAGGCGAAGATGACTACAATGTCGGCATACGTGCCCGTGTCCGGGCAATGATAACTAATTGTCGGGGTAGGGTAGTGGCTTGTGTAGGGGCCGCCGTTGCCGATGGTCCCTGATATCTGGCCCAGGAGTCTTGCGACCCCGTAGGCGGACCACCACTTTGGGCTAATAAAATGGTGGTCTCCGTTAGTTGCGGATCGTCATTCCGGACGTTTGTTGCAGGTTGCATGCGTCAGCTTCAACAAGAAAGATTTCGGTACGGTGACCGTGGCTACAGATACCACCAATATTGCCCGGGGCTCGCTCAGCAATGTGAGCATATGACCTCACGCGTTCAAATAGAGAATCAATCCCATCAGCCCTTTGGGCGTGAGTGGTTTAGCGAGCTCTCTCTGTTCTCAACCCCCCTTCTTCCCCTTCGGGGAGGGGTTTACCCCTCCCCCATACCCCCTCCCCCTGGGCCTGGAGAGGGCGGGCCGAACGTCGTCAGGGTTTTTTTTTTACTCCTTGGAGGGCTAAAAAACGACGACCCTCACATGGATTCTGGCCCCGACGGGGGGGCCCAGTTTGGCCCCCTCTGCTCTTCTTTCAAGCCAAAAACATTGACTGTACGACGGTTTCGGCCCCATTTTGGCGTTTTGAGGGGGCCGCGCTCATCTTCCTTCATAGCAGAATCATTGCTTTTACGAAGGTTTTGGGCTCATTTTGTTCTTCTCAGGGGGCAGCTCTCGTTGGCGCTTCTGGGGAGGTCGCAAGAGGCCCCAAGATGGCCCCAAGAGGCCCCCAGGAGGCTCCCAAGAGGCCTCCAAGAGGCCCCCAAGAGGCCCCCAAGAGGCCCCAAGAGGCCCCCAAGAGGCCCCCAAGAGGCCCCCAAGAGGCCCCCCCAAGAGGCCCCCAAGAGGCTCCCAAGAGGCCCCCAAGAGGCCCCCAAGAGGCCCCAAGAGGCTCCAAGAGGCCCCCAAGAGGCCCCACGAGGAGCCCGAACGACTCACACCAGGACGAGGGGCCCGAACGACTCACACCACGAAGAGCCCGAACGACTCACACCACAAGGAGGGGCCCGAACGACTCACACCAGGACGAGGCGCCCGAACGACTCACACCACGAGGAGCCCGAACGACTCACACCACGACGCGGGCCCCGAACGACTCAAACCACGAGGGGCCCGAACGCGGGCCCCGAACGACTCACACCACGAGGAGCCCGAACGAGTTACACCAGGAGGACGGGCCCGAACGACTCACACCAGGATGAGGGGCCCGAACAACTCACACCACGAGAAGCCCGAACGACTCACACCAGGACGACGAGCCCGAACGACTCACACCACGAAGAGCCCGAACGACTCACACCAGGAAGAAGGGCCCGAACGACTCACACCAGGACGAGAAACCCCAAACGACTCAAATCACGAGGAGCGTTTTCTCTGCCTCCTCCTCCGCCTCGTCCTTCTCCCGCTCCCCCCACAAGGAGGATGTGCAAGGAGGCGGGAGGAAGGAGAAACAGGGGAGATGTGCGGGGCCAAGCGGACACACGCCTGAAAAACACGACGGTCGGCATGTTTCGCAAGAGTTGCTGCTGTGAGATGGGCTGGTGGGGATACGCGAAGCGTAAAGAATTTGTTGTTGGTTCCTCAGCATTTGGTGGTTGAATGGCTGTAGGAATTGTTGTGCACGCGACATCCCCACTCCTGAGGCTCTGAACAGAATAACTGTTTGGATCTGGAACTTGGGGATTAGAAAGCCTGCCGATTCAGCCTCGTAGCGGGCTATCTCCAAGCGTGCCAAATGTCTGGTCGATCCGTTCTCCCGGGTGGCCTGGAAAGTCGACGAGAGCCGTTCCCGAGTTAACTTGGCGTTCCTCCTCTAAGTTCTCAAACTTCGTGCTAAGGAAGAACGTGATGTAGGTGACGCCGTCGGTATGACGGCCACCAATGTCAAGCCAAAATTAATGACTGCGGGGGAAACGTTCATGGCTATGGTCCGTGCAAGACCTCCCAGACCTCGCTGCAAGGCTGCAGCTTGTCGGGAGGGCGTCATATTGCCTGCGGTCACGTTGATCCAAGCATGTACCTCTCGAGCGAATTCGCGGGAAGAGGTACTTGACCGGCCGGGTCCCAGTGGGGGCCGGTTGTTCTTGTGTCGTCTCCGCCACGCATGTGTCCCACAGCGCGCCCGATAGCGACCCATAGAAAACCACATATCCGAATGTCAATACAATGGCACCGTAGGTCGTGGTCGGATGTTGGTGGCTGGGGTTTGTGGTGTTTGGTTGTAACTCTTCGTGGGGGTGAAAGCGGCACATTATCGTATCGCATGTTGCCATGCATGGTTCCTTCGAACAAATTTCCAATTGCCAGTTGGAGTAGGCGGGTGGACTTCAGGGGTGTAGTAGCGCCGGGATGTAGGACTCGAGTAAGAGGCCTCCGCGAGAGCAGAGGTAGCACTGCAAGTGTCCCTGCGGTTGTGCGTGGTTGTGTACATTCCTCCGCGCAGACCCACTGCACCATGATGTTCCGCCATGTCAGTAGTCCACCAGATAGTGCCGTGGATGGTGAGGAGTAGAGCGAGAGCTGACCACCATAGGCCAGCTCCGCTACCAAGTTTGAAGGGGGCCCGGAGGCCCGACCAGAAGTTTCGCCTGAGGCGAAGCGCGGCTCCAGCTCTGTTGTACCGTAGTAGCGATAGTCCCAGTCGGAGGAAGTCGTCGCGGGAGCGACGGGCCATCTCAAGCGAAGGATTTTTTCGGTCTCGATGGCAAGTAGTATGCCTCGCAATGAGGCGCAGTCACATGTTGGCGGCCGGCCGCTTGATCCCAAGCGGCCACGGACAAACGCTCGCTATCTCTCGCCCTTGTCCCAGCTCACTTTAGAGTGATTCGCCGTAGGCGTCTTTGATCATAAATTTCACGATCGTGATGAGCTCTGACTCCTTCTGCGGGTCAGCGGAATTGCGCAAGCCACTTGCATCACATTTTGTGGACGGCCTCTTGAGTGGCCGCACTCCTATCAGCGAGTTGGCAGTGGCCACCTCGATCTCAGACATGTATAATTTGCATGTGATTCGCGACAACAAGCGGCCCAATTAAGTCCGCCACCGAGCTCTGAGGCACGAATTGGAGCGCCTTCAAGTCCATTGGAATTCTCCGTCCTCGGTCCTGAGTGCGTGAAGATGAAGGGGCCCGGATCCCACATTCATGTTTTATCCGGGGCTTCCCGCGTGCGTTCCGTGTCTCCTCGCATGTTGTCGCGTGGCTTTTCCAGAGCTACGAGGGCCCCAACACGGACCAAGACGGCTCCAAGAGGTTCTCCACATGGTCCAATATGTCACCAGCATGCTAAAAGACAGTTCCAAGACGCCCGAGATGGCCTCCAGACGGCCCAAGAGGCCCCCAAGACGCCCCCCAGAGGCGTCGAAGAGCATTCCAAAGAATGCCCCCAGAGAGGCCTACATCATTGATTGTCCGTACGTGCTTCAAAGATATTAACGTTCCCGCCCGCACCCGACGCTCCAAGACTGCCCACGAGACCGCAAAGATCGCCCCGAAACGGCTCAAGAGGCCACCAAGACAACCCCAGACGGCCCAAGATGGTGCCAAGACAGCCCACGACGCCCCGAAGACGGCCCAAGCTGTCCCAAGAAGGTCCCAAGAAGGCCCCAAGAAGGGCCCAAGAGGGGGCCCAGGGGGAACACGAACTGACATTTCGAGCTCTCCGCCCCAAGAAGACCCCCGGAGACCGCCAGCAGGCCCTCCAGAGGCCCTACAGCAGCCCCAAGAGGCCCTCCAGAGGCCCAAACCAGGCCCCCAAGAAGTCCCCGAGCGGCCCACCAAACACTCCAAAACGGCCTCCATGAGGCTTCCGAGAGCCCTCCCAAGAGATCAGCGCATCCAAGCGGCCTTTGACTTACAACCCAGGCACGGTGGCGGACTGGGCTGAATGCCACTAGATATCAGCCCAAGCCAAGCCGAACCGAAATGCTCAGGCCGATTGCTCGGGTCACGTTTCATCGCTTCGCGACTCGTCCATTCCATTCCATCCCCCTTCCTCACCCCTCCGTGCTGCGGCTGCACTACTTCCGCGGCGGGCGAGAGGGTGAATTGAGAAGGAGGAGGCCTTCTCAGAAGGCGGCTGGGTTTCTTAGAAGCCCTCCGGCATTCTGAGAAGCTTTCTGTGTCTTCGGGGAAAGCTTGGAAAACTTCTCAGAAGGCCGTAGAACTTCCGAACCTTCTGAGAAGGCCCGCCCACTCTCGCTTCCCCCCGTGCGCGCCGCCGACGACTGCTGCTGCCGCGCCCTTCCCCCGACCGCCCCCCCTGCCGCCGTCCTTCTGGCGCTGCTTCGCGCGCTCCTTCAGGTCGATGAGCTGACGACGCGCCGGGAGGAAACGCCAAGCCTCCTCCCCCTGCGCAGCTGGGAAGGCTCCTCACCCCAGTAAGAGGGTGGAGGAGAAAGAGGAGGAGGAGGAGGAGGAGGAAGACCTTTTGGACCTTTTGACCAAGCACAGGGGGTCGTGCGGGAGAGGGGGGAGGGGAGGGAGAAGGAGGCGAACGCAGCCCCGAACGGGAGTGCCACGACACAAGCGGGACCCACGTCGCAGCACCACCGCAACCGCTAGAAGAGGAGGGGGAGGGGGGAGGGGGAGGTCAGAGGTCAGGTCGCAACGGCACAACATGATGTCACGCCGACGATCGCCGACAAGAGGAAGGAGCAGGGAGGATTATCCCCCTCCTCTCGCCCTATGATCCCCTACAGCGAGGAACATCCAAAGACGGAGCTGAATGCTCCCGCAACGCCTGCTTCCCCCCAGCTCACGCCCATTTCATACCAATCCCTTTTACCTTGAACCAATATATCCCCCGCCTTTCCCTCACAGCAAATCTGAGCAACGAGTAGTGTCCTCGATGAGAGCTCGCACGATGGGTTTCGGCTGGGGTCCGCTTCAAGGATGGTTGGCACTCAGGGTGCTGCTCTTTCGGAGGGGGACGGGTAGGGTGCGGAAGAAGGGAGAGGGAGGATGGGGTGAGGAAACTGAGGATTGGGAGCACGAAGATGAGGATGATGGTGCTGGTGAGGAACTGGAGTTTAGGGCCAAAGCCAAAGATCTGAGCGACCCTCTGTTTGACCGAAGAAGGAGAGGGGAAATGGGTCAACCGCATGCAACGCTTGCTTGGTACATGCTATCACTCTACAAGCGACATGCAGAACACATCACGAGCGATGCAGGACATTCCTCACATGGCCAAAACTGACAATCTAAGCGGCCGAATGTGTTCTAGCGAAGCAATCCCCCTCAAATGTTCCCGCATCGTATGACGCAACGGCAGAATGCTGACCACGATCTTCGTAGCCCCATGCCGTGGACATGCTGTAGATGATGATGGTTGGGCATGCTCTTGCATGAGAGAATACCACAAAACAGCACCGAACAACATCACACAGTAAATTAACCAACAAAACGCAGGTGCGCCTGGCTATCATACGATGTGTCTCACCATGTCGCGAGAAACTTCGGCTGAGTCATAGTGAACAGCTATAGTTGTCGCTGCTTCTCTGCGACTGGGCGGGCTAATCAACTCTGCCCCCAGCTGAACTAATATGTATTGACATTGAACGATTCGTTTCTCGATGTACACCTCACGAAGTTAGTGGATCTACGGGATGCGCCTTGGAGATACAGAGTAAACCTTACAAAAGAAGACTGTCTTCTAGCTTGAGTAAATGTTGACCGCTGGTGATCCACTTCTCTCGTCGACGTCCCCGCTCATGCTGCGACATGCTGCATCTCAAATGTTCCCTCACGTAAGTCGGGAACATCCGGCGTCCAATTTCACAAATGAAGTGCAACTTGAGGGTGAATCACTATCACAACTGCATCCTCATTACTGTACGGTGAACACTTTGTCAACATAATCCCCCAACCCTCAAAATGGTTTGTTGTTCCCCAAACCCTGAGGATGGGGTTCTTGAAATTTCTCCGACCGCGCCGACATCTCACGCACACACCTCCCTCCTCCTCTTCCTCATGATGATGCTGATGATGATGACCGATGGTGATGGTGATGGCGATGATGATGATGCTGCTGCTGCTGATGATGATGATGATGGTGTTGATAATGGTGATGGTGGTGGTTCTGATGCTGCTGATGATGATGATGACGGAACATATTTAAAGAATGTCTCGGGCGAGGCGCTGGTTTCAGCACTCCCAAGGGGGCGCCAGCAAAGGGTTTATCACTGCTCCGTTCGCGCCCAAATTGCGGGGATGTCTAAAGCGGTTTGCACAATTGCGTGCCCAGCGTCCTCCGCTTTCGGAGCAGATTTTGAAGATCTCTCGGGCGAGGCGTTGGTTTTCGCACACCCAAGGGGAGCGCCAAGGGGTATCTCACTCTGCAGTTCGCGCCCAGGTTGGGGGCATGTTTCGAGCAATTTGCTTGTTTGCGTGCCCAACATCTTCCGTTTTCGAAGCAGATTTTGAAGATGTCTCGGGCGAGGCGATGGACTTCGCACCCCAGAGGGAGCCCAGATTGCGAGGATGTCTCGGGCGGTTTGCCTGTTCTGGTGGCCAGACTCGTCTGCGTTCAGAGCAAATTCTGAGGATATCTGAGGTGAGGCGCACCGCCAGGGGCTCGGCTCGCGAGGATGTCTCGGGCGGTTTGCTTGTTTTGGTGGCCAAACTCGTCTGCGTTCAGAGCAGAATCGGAGAATGTCTCGGGCGAGGCGCTAGCTTCAACACTCTCAAGAGGGAGCCGGTAGGGGGCTCTCATGGGCCCGGCCGCGCTCAGATTATGGGGTTGTCTCGAGCGGATTTCGCGTTTGGGTGCCCAGCATGCTCTGCTTTCAGAGCAGATGGTGAGGATGTCTCGAGCGCGGCGCTGGTTTCAGCACTCCCCAGGGGGAGCTGTCAGGGTACATGTCACTTTCCTTTTCGCGGCCACTGTGGGAATGTCTCAGGCGGATTGCCTGTTTGGTGGCCAAAGCCTCTTCCTTGTGAGAGCCTCACGGTCGTCGTGCTGAAGTAATCGTATCACGCATGTGGGTACCCCGAGGGGGAGCCGCCAGGGAGGGGGACACTTGCCAGGGAGGAGGAGGGAGAAGGGAGGACGTAAGAGGAGGAGCAGGAGCAGAAGGAGGAGGAGGACGCAGGCGAGGGGAGGAGGATGGCCGCCAGGGAGGAGCAGAGGAGGAGGAAGAAAAGGAGGAAGGGCCGCTGAGGACGAAAGAAGACGCAAGAGGAGAATGACAGAGCTGTCTCTTTGCCGGCCTCTTTCCTCTGTCCGCACGCCTGCCCCCTCTATACTCAGAATCACTCGCACTCAAACTCAAACCATTCGGGCTCAGATACACCTACACTAAGCTTCGTCAGACTGGACTCATACGCGTAGACCCACTCACACTAAGATTCACTCACGCTCACTCAACTTCGCTCGCACTCAAGCTCACCCGCATTCAGACTCTCGTACACAACCATTCGCAGCGGAAAATGCCAGGAATCTAGGTGCAAATATGAGGATCTCCGCGTCGAGAAATTCACAATATCCGAGAATTGGGGTTCTTGTTGTAACCGCGACGACTCCTCACTCACCTCCCTCCTCCTCCTCCTCCTCAAGGTCACACTCACGGTCGCTATTGAAGTTATGCCGATGGTGATGTGAATGGTAATGCTGGTGAACATGATGGTGATGTTGTTGATAGCAGTAGTAACAATGATGGTGACAACACTTGTGATCATGACGGTGATGGTGTTGATGCGAATGACAACGAGGATGATAATGGTAATGGTGATGCTGATGATACTGGCGGAGCTGATGTTGAGGATGTCACGTGCGAGGCGGTGGTGATGATAGTGCTGGTGACGATGAAAATGATGAAAGTGATGATGGTGACGATACTGATTTTGCTGATGCTGATGATGCTGATGATGGTGGTGGTGCTGCTGAATGATGGTGGCGGAACAACGTTTGAGGAAAGCTTGGGCGAAAAACTGCACACCAAGGAGGGAGCCGGGTATCTCACTCTTCCGTTCGCGCCCAAATTGCGGGAATGTCTCAAGCGATTTGCCTGTTTGCGCCCCAACACCTTCCGCTTTCGTAGCAGATGTTTGGGATGCTTCCCTCGGGCGAGGCGCTGGCTTTCGCACCCCAGCAGGGGCCTAGGCCAGGTTGAAAGGATGTCTCGAACGGTTTGCTCGTTTTGGTGGCCACATTCGTATGTGTTCAGTGCAGATCCTGACGATGTCTCAGGCGAGGCGCGGGTTTTCGTACCACAGGTGGCCCAGCTTGTGGGGACTAGGAGGAGGAGGAGGAAGAGGAGGAGGAAGAGGAGGACGAGGAGGAAGAGGTGGAAAGATATGAAGATAGTTTCGATATGGAAAATGTTCCGTCTCTAAAAAAAAATCCCCGCGCCAACTGCTTTGCCACAGTCCGGAAACCCTCTGCCACACCGGACCTCGTCTGCAACTCTCTCACATCAAAGCGAATACCCTTCAGGATGTTATGCTCCCTTTGCTCTGTAGTCAAAGGAAGCTTGACCCCCTTGACACTGGCCTGGCTCCGGCTCGGGCTCGGGCTCGCGGCCGATGAAAGGGAACGGCTCCTGTCTTTGGCGTCGCGCTCTGCTGCCTGATCCGCTGGTCTCGGCGGACGCGGTGGCAGCGCAGACTTCGCGTCGACCAGCGCCTTTTCCGACGGGATGTCCGTCCAGTCGTTATTGCAATAACAAGCCTTGATACTGCGATCGAAACCTTCTGCTGCTTCATGTGGCATATTGTGTTCCGAATCAGTCGCGCAGTGTTGTTTCATCCTGAATGAAATAGTCTCCAAATCTTTATCACGAGAGTTCACTTGATATGATTTGACAACCGCACTGTGTGAAGGCAAGCGTTCTGAGCATTATTTGTAGATGTACGCAATATTTGAGTGCAACGCGTCATCGCACGGAATGTACAATCGGCGCGCCCAATCCAAAAACATATTGAGCTTGAGCGGCTACGTAAGATCGCTACGTATAAACTCCCAGCCTGCGCTTCAGCGTAGAAGGCCTCGTTTTGTGAAGGTATTTCGCTCCAAAGCCTGGAATGTTGTCTGGCGTAATCATTCTGAAAATATTTGCGCGCTTTGACTGCGCAAATTGTTGTGCGTGTAAAAACTCAATGTCAACATGTTTCAACCTTCCTACGCCGAGTCTTGATGCGATGGCCCTGCCTGCGCTGCTGTCTGATCTTACAGTGGCCGAGGTCTCATGCCCCAGCTCTTTGATCAACGATTGCGCGCGTAGTGCCTCTGCGGCGCCGGAGGTGATAGCATGTAGCTCGGCTTCCCCGTTGGATTGGGCGATCACGCTCTGCGAGCGGCTGTAGTCACAGAG